CTGGTCAAACACTTCCCAAGGCGACGGTAGTGGCTGGCTGGTGAAGTCGTCAGAGCTGGGGTGTGACAGCAGCTCCGTGCGAGCGAGCCCTGTTGACAAGAGGCAGGCAGGAAATCCGAGCTCGGTGCACAGCTTCCTCAATTTTCCTCCTCAAGCCCATTCTTTGGTAATTGCTTTCGCGGCCGACGAGGACGATGGCGGTTACTCAGTCGTGCCTGCCTGAAAGTGAGGAGGCTTGAAAATTCCATTAGCAGCGTTCGTTGTTCGCCAACGAAACCGCACTCTCCTCCTTCTTATTCTACGACGACTATTTTTTGACAAATTTCTTACCGACGGCAATGGTCGGATTGCTCGCCGCCTACTGAACTTCAGTCTTTTCCGTTTTCGATGACAGGATCTTCGTACGGAACGAATTACTCAGCATCCAACTCACCTCCGCTCTCATCTTTTGCCCTCACCTATTGTAAGGCGAAACGCGACAACTTACCGTGAAACATGTGCCTTGAATGCGCCCTTGTTTCCGTCGTTGTCTCGTCTGCTTTTCCTCTTTCCTTCTTCGTAGAAGCGTTCAGTTCTCGCCGTTCAGCCGTCGTCTCCGTAGAGCGGAACATGCCGCATAGAATTTGCAAACATCTCTCCAAGCAAACTAATAAAAGAAGGTAGTAATCTGGCTGCGACATCGATCGATGAGGACTATCGAATGTCGCTTTCAACAATTGGTGGTGAACTGATGGCAAAAATCCATACAGTGATAGCGGCGACTATCATTCGATGCCGACCCTCTGTTCGGGATGCCCGGGTACCACCCTCTGCCGTAGTCATGGGTAGACGCGTCAAGGGCAAACACATTGTTAGCTGATCGTCCCGACTTCCCCTTTTCTGTGTTCCAAACGATCTTCGTCGTTGTTCACTCGGTTATGACGCGCGCTGAAGCTTCAGCCGAATCCTTCTTATGCGTCATTCATCTGCAGACTTGAATTCCTTGCACCTCCAGTCCAGTATTGTCCTTATGTTATTTGCTGGTGTAATGCTAATATTCGATGGAGGATGCTTTCATTTCAGCTCTAAGCATCAAAAATAGTTTGTACATTTTTATAGCCTAGATAATATTACCAATAAAATCTGGTAATAATAATGACGGGGCCCAGACACCGAAGGTGTGACAAAGGTACCAGAACAGTTTTATCCCTGCAACACATTAACTGCAGACAGACGAGTGGCAAACGAAATTACCAGACACTGTGCGCTTGCATCAGCAGCGAGCAACAAATTATTCAACCTCTGAAACGATGGCGATGTTGGCAACGTTTGCAGTCTGAACATGTTGTTCGATGGCCTGTAGACGGCAGAACTTAATAAAGCTAAAAACAGAAAACTGAAAACAACGGAAATTAATATCTTAAGATCAACGTTATAAGTGAAATGATATGATCTGGTGTCAAGTACTGTTGTAAGATAAAGATTGAGCCAGCCAAATAATGTTACCGATTGCAAACAAGGAGTTTAAGGTGTTGGGCCATTGATAATGAAAGGATGATAGCCGCCATGCGAAGCGAATAATGAAGACAAAGCTTGATTGTAGGCGGACACCAGGAAGTCCTTCAACAAGATTGTACGATCTCGCTAAAACTGACATGGCATGGAAACGGTTGAAGAGTGAGCATGGATTTATTCAATCCACATGGAACACTTCGACAGAACCCAGCGTGATCTGCGATGCAATTGGATAGGGAGAAAAAAATATTATATTCATATTCGATTTTTATCCCCATACTTACCTAAGGTCATGAGTCGTGGACCATCACTGAAAAA